GCCCGCTGCTCCCCTCAGCAATTTATTTCGTCAGTCTGCCTGTTCTGTTCCCCGCTCTGGCTCTGGTGAATTCTCTCACCCTCCCACGCTTCTGACTGTACCCAGTGCTTGTGTAAAGAAATAATCTTTAAAAAATAATAATAAAGATGGGGAATTTGTCATGACCCTGACGCTATCTGGCCGACACTCACTTTATGTTGATGTTGCCTTACTTTTAATTTTTTCAGGGTTTGCCTAGTCTTTTTAGGTCTGTGGTGGTTGTAGGAATCAGGCAACCTAATAAGATTTGTTATTCAAGACTGACTGTTACTCCTCCAAGAAGCCATGTTTGTGCGTGTAAGTATGTTTCTTTGGGGCGATATCATCAACAGGATTTTTCAATTTAGCACATGATCATTAAAATGAAATAGCTTGACTTTTTTCATAGAACAAGTCATCTTTTCGGATTTTTTTATTTAGCATTTAACTCCTGGCAACCTAGTAGAGCAGTGAGGTTCTTTGAAAGGGTAATCCAGTTATCACTGTATTTGAGAGAAGGTTTTTTTCAAAATTCCAAATGTATTTGAAGAAGCAAGTCGTTCTGCAAACAGCTCTTTCTGTTAAGATACTGTGATTGACAAAGGGTAATTTTCAGCTTCCTAGGGTCCTTTTCTTATTCTGATGGATGGTAAAGCTTTCTCTCAGGAACATAGAAAAGTACATTTCACAGGTTTTTCTACCACCAAATGCACGGAAAGTCTTACATCTGACAGACTCTTGCTCTCGTAACTCGTCCGAAGACTTAGGTGGGATTTGAATTTCTACAATGCTACTTTTCTCTCCCAGTCAAAGTCTTTGTACTCGTTTGTGAAAAGCCTGAAGGTAGGAAAAGGGAAATAGATTGAATTTTGGAGGTTTTATAAATGCTCTGCAACTTTTTCCTTTGTCTGTCATCAACTTTTTGATGCAGCTATATTACAGAAATGTCATTGACCGCTTCCTCCCCTGCTGCTTTTTGGGTGCATTTTCAAAGAGAGTAGATGGAAGGGGGAGCTGGAGGAGTCATAGGTGTGGTAGCACCTATTTCAGCAGCGAATCACTCTCCTATTGGATCACTCTGCTATTTTCTTAACTCAGTAACAGTGAAAGAGCGGGTGAGAATGATTTGTTTTTCAGGCCAAAGGAAATAGGAAAGGAGTGAAATTGAGCCAGGCGCCCATGTTGGCACTCTGTTCTTGTAGATGTAGTGTGGATGTTTCTTTAATTGTATGCGTATGTTGGGGGAGGGGGCCCTTGCTGCAGTTCTGAGGACATGTAGCCACCAGAGGCTGGCCGCTGTTGCAGCTACATTCATGGAATTGGTTATGAGATGGTCTAATACTTTGCCCTGAGCACATGGCCCTCAGAACATGGGTCTTGAAGGAGGGCTGGGGAAACCTGGTGGGTCATTTTTCTCAGACCAAGGTAGTTTCTGAGCTGTTCCAGATCCATTGTGACGTGCTATCTTGTGATGATAGGGTATGCTTAGGTGGCTTAAGGAAAACATTGGAACCTTTCTAATCCATAGTCATTGGTTTTCCAAAGGACAGAAACAGTGGGTGATTACATATTGTCCTAAGCAATCCCTCTCTTGACTTCATCCCGTTGTATCCACATGTGCCGCACCACAGCCTTCACCCTCTACAAGGATGCAACACGAATAATTAGCAAATGTCACAAACAAAGTTTGTCTTAGCCCCCTCCCCACACAACACACCCCAGCTCCAGTTTAAGTATTTTGGCCTATAGGTAACTTTGGGCCTCATGCAGACTAGAAATACACAGAAGAGATTTATTATCAAGTGTTGTACATAAAAATGTTATGCTGAGTTCTAAAGTCATTTTGAAAAAACTTAAGGGCCTTGGCTTTCTTTTGAAGCATGGTGTTCCACAGATAACTTTCATATTAAATTATTTGGTTTCTCCTTATCTATTGTTTGGATAGAAAAATGCAGATTTTTTTCATCTTTTATAAGCTTTCTTTAACATGAGCAGCAGTCTCTGGTAAGGTAGTATTGCTATGCATTTGCATTGTTATAGAATTAAATTATGGATTCTGTCATTCAAAAGAGAATGCTTTATAAATCAAGTAAAATCTCATAACTAAGATGAATACGTTTTTTAAAAATCTCATGCTGCCTCATATTCTATACTTCAGTTTTAGAGCCTAACTTGATGTAATTTTTAAAGTGTAATTCTCTCTTTTTTTCTATTTCTGTGCTATATTTTTGCTTTGTAAAAATGTCATTAGTTTCCCAAGAAAAAGCTTAAGAAAACTTACTATATGTAAAGGACAATGATAAAAACACACAAAGACAGGTAGTAATTCTTTATCTGTAGATTGGCAGGAAATGTGCCAAATACACCAAGTTCTCTCTCTCCTTCCTCTCCTGCTTTGATTGAGTCAATATAAATGATGTTAAAATTGTAAATAGTAGCAAATAGTAAAATCCTAACAAATGTGTTCCTTTTTCTTTTTTTAAACTGATCTATTGTTTGGAATTTCTGAATATAAAGACAGTGCGTGTGTATGTATATCTGTACGTATACATGTATACATTACAAATTGTTTTCTATGTAAAATGTCTGTGGTTGTGTTTGCTATTTGTCTGGAAAAACTATCAAAGGTGGATTTACAATCCTAAAGCAATCCTGTTCAGCAGGCGCCTCGTTTCTCTTGTCACTACTGCTATGTAACTTCCCCAAAGCATGGGAATCAGAGGGACAGTCCTTAATATGAGTACAAAGGAAAGGGAAAAATGGTCTAAGGAGAAGGAACAGCAGGAGTAAGTTATTTAGACTGGTTTGAGGGCAGGATTTCCAAATGCAGCTGCAGCTGGTGATAAAAAGGACTGAAATTCAGAAGAGAGGTCAGAGGTACAGATAGAGATTTAAGATCCAGGCAATTGCCATGATAAATGAAACTTTACAAGAACATTTCTCCAGGGAAAAAGAGATTGAAGGGAGAGCAGATTTAGGACTGACCCTTGGGAAAATCTTTAATGTTAGGATTTGGGAGCAGGAACAGAAACCCTGAAGTATAAAATAGAATGCTTGACTCTGAAAGCCTGGTAACCTCAGTTACCCTGGGTGGAGGATGGGGAATATAGGAAGGAAAATCCTTGCCACTATCTTTACATTAGTGCAGGTTCTGGAAGGTCTAAAACAAAGCTTATGTTTTCTCCCGGGGGGCACATTAATGGCAAAAAAAAACCCTCCATTATTGTGATATTTAGTGCACATAAGGATTTCCTTACTGTGCTTATATATGTTGAAATTCAGTAGTGGTTCCTAGACTACTTTTCATGGATCCAGGAGGATTGGGTGACTACCATTCTCAGGTCTTACTATACCAATAAAATCTTTCTCTTCTTGGACTTGCAGAGTAACATAAAGTATATTGAAACTAAGATTATTTGGTCATTTTTATTGCTTCTCAGTCTTTTGGCTAAGACCAAGTATTGTATCTGTTCTTATCAGTTTAATATTTGATCATTTAATATAATTAAACGTAAATTGATCAATGAAAAATGCAAAAGGACAAACCCAACAGAAAATAACAGTGAGTCCTTTTATTTTCTCAAGCTATGTTTTAAGTTCTACTCAACTTCTTGGCAGGGGAGGTAAAATAATAGCTACCTCGTTCCAGTGATATGCATTTATATGCAGTCTGTCCACTTTTGTATTCTAGGTAACTCTACAGAGTTTTGAAGGACACCTTGATTATCAGTGACATTATGGGAATGCTTTAATAACAAGATAACTAAGGAAGAACAAGTGGTTATGTAAACCATTTAGACACTGTAAATAAGGAAAATTCATAAATGAAATGAAAACCCTTGATGAACCAACTCAATGTTCTCCTGAGAATTCAGGTGGCCTAGCAACTTGCACTCTTGGGTCCAACAAGAAAAAAGGAGTTACCTTTTTTCTCTGCCCTTTCATCCAGTAAACTCACACAATGTAAAGAATCTATGGAAAAAGAACTGCTTGTAGTTGTGCTTGTCTTAAAGGATTATGGTGGACCTAGCAAGCCAAATGAGAGAATCATTAGCTAATTTGCTTAGTGCTCCAAGTTAAACAAACACAATTGCAGGTCACATTTAATGATGATAAATACCTGCCCAGTGACATTTTTTGCTACCAGATAGTAAATATGATAATCAGCGGCCATGTCAGCATTTAGGCAACACCAAAGGGAGGCTCGGCTACACAGGATTGACATAGAATCCTGTCAGGAAGTGCTTCAAATATCAATAAGACATGCAAATAGCTGAAACTCCAAAATACTCTCTGGTCTGAATTATCTAAGGGACCTAGAACCATTGTCTCTGCAACCTAAAGAATAACATAGCTGCCACATAATAAAGATTTATTCTTTGACTAGCAGAATATCAGTGGATTTTAGAATTTTTTTTCACCTTGCATGGATTCAGGGAAAAAAAGAACTTTAGAACCAAAATTGTCCAGAATAATGAAATCTAAAATTTAGGATATATTTACATGTGTATGTAACATTCTGTCTCAGTTTATCTTGATTTTTTTAGATCCCAATCCTGAATCTAATTTCACATGGATGATTTTACATCTCACCTCAGGAAATTTTTATTTAAATCAGTAATATATGATAATAACACTATTCCTGATATTTTATGCTTTAAACTTATTCAATGCATATCAAAGTAGAACAAAGTGGCTAAGAAAATGAACTAGAATCAGAATCAGACTAATTGAGATTTAGTTCTGGTTTTTCACTTTATAGCTGTGTGAGCTTTTCTTAATCTCAGTTTCCTCATCTGGAAAACGAAGATTATAAGTGTATCAAACTTGGTAGATTCATATGAAGATTCAATAAATTAACTCATGCAAAGTACTTACTACAGTATTTGGCGTATGCAAAAGCCTGATAGCGAAACTATTTTCTTATCCATAACAGATTTTTAGAAATATTAATGAAATTTTGTCTGGTTCTTCATTTTTAGGGTCGGTGTGCTAGAGAGAACTGCAAGTACCTTCACCCTCCTCCACACTTAAAAACGCAGCTGGAAATTAATGGACGTAACAATCTGATTCAACAAAAGACTGCCGCAGCCATGTTCGCCCAGCAGATGCAGTTTATGCTCCAAAACGCTCAAATGCCGTCACTTGTAAGTCACAGCTATGTCTTTGAAAAGCTGTGTGTGGCATCCATGTGGGGGTATTGCAGGGGAGATGTTGGGCGGGGATGTTAAAAGTATGTCTGCATTGGAATAACCTTAGAGGGCGTTTGGGAAGTTAGTTACGGAAGGATATAGGGTGCAGACTGATGTGGAATTGATAATACAAAACTGTTGTCTGTGTGAAAGGAGCAAGATTTAAAACCTGGCTTGCATTTCAGCATGAATTTGGTTTATAGAAGATTATTAATAAAGGAGTGGGGGCATTTTATGATGAGGAGGAGACTTGATTATTATTACAGGGCAATCTTTGAACTCTAGGATATTGATTCAAATGTAGTTCTTACACCTTGATGGTGGTTTTGTTGTTACTTTTTAATACTTTTTGTATCGAAATAATTTTAAAGAAAAGTTGTGACTATAGTACCGAGTTCCCTATTACCCCTCACCCAGTTTCCCCCACTGTTCACGTCCTTTATTTCCATGGCATACTTGTCAAAATGGACAAAATGACATATGCATGTTACTATTAACTAAGTTCCAGACATGATTCCTACTTCACCAGTTTCTCCATTAGTATGCTCTTCCTTCCAGTGTCCAACGCAGGCCACCAAAGTGCAGTTACCTGAATCCAATTGAAACTGGGGCCCCCAGCATGCAAGCTGTGGAGCAAGAAGTTTTCCTTTTCATAGTTTGTGCATGGATCATAGAATGGACCAGTGAGGTTCAAGCAAAGTGAACCAATCAGGTTTATCAACTCCTTAGTTAATGAGCTAATTAATTGGTCTTCAAATGGTCCAGTCAGTCACTGAGAAGTGAAATTGATCCAATTGGGCAAATAGGGTGGATAAGGCAGGGCAGGAGCCAGCTTAAGGAACTCTGTTTCTACCCTCCGAAGAAAGAAGAGAGTCTCACTCTGTTCTTGGCCTCCGAGGAAAGAAGAAAGAAGAAGAAAAAAGAATGAAGAAAGAATTCAGAAGTATGCCTCTTAACTGGTAGAACTGTATAGATAATGCCAAAAAGAGGTGATAGGGCATTGATAAATTTGTCACTATAAATTTGTACCATAATAGTCTAGTTTTAACTGGACAAGTTTAGAAAAAATAAATAGATTCCATGTTCTATACTGTTAGTTTGCCTAAAATATTTGTCGTGGAACTTAATGCTGACTAATTACGTTGATAAATTAATTCCCAGAAGGTCACCCATGAGTTTCTCAGAGCTCCTCTTTGATTTTCAGTAAATCGTTTACATGGTTGAACTCCGTCTTCAGAGCCTTTCCTTGGCTTTCACACACTGAAGTATTTCACTTCCTCCCTGTTTCTAAAGGGGTAGGGAGGAGGCAGTCTCCCAGATACTGAGGTGAGGAATAGTAAGAACAGAGCTACAGAGAAGTAAATCTGCTTAGTGAGTCCAGAAAATGTGAGTAGATGAGGACTAAAGTGAGGGGCTTTTCACCCACTGTTGCTACACTTGGCCTCCTGTGGAATGTCCCAATTTCAGGCTGAGCAAAGAATGGGAGTCAGATTTTATCCGAACCCAGCATGCCCTATAAAGCTAGAACATGTATCTTTTCATAGATCAAGAGGCAGCATCAGGGTACCAATCAAGTGCCCTCTTTCAGGGAGTCAGAGAACTAGACCTGGGGCAAAGTAGGGGTAAAGACTGACTGTTCATCATTCAGCCTCCGGTAGATTCTCTTCATTCCCTGTCTCAATCCTTGGAATGGATCCTGATCTTACAGGAGCAACATGATCATGCTGGTTCACACTGGGGAATAGGGAGTGACATTTTTAGTCTCCGGTAAGAGATCCATTGAGTTTTCTGGCCTCTCATGCTTTATAATTTGATTCTCCATGCTTTCTAGAACAGAATACATTTTCCTTTTTTCCTCAATGAGAGTATTGCAGATTGCAGAATATGACTGATACGACTCACAAGAGTACAATTTATTTTATAGCATATCACAAGATACAAGGCATTACATACAAGACTGCAGGGAACCATTAGACATTTCTTTTCTACCTTGTAGATTACTTAACAATAGCTGTTGTGATGTGATAAAGTGATAAAAGATTTATTTTTGCAGTTATTAGGTGTACAAAAAACTAACCCTGTATAGTTGATATGATCCTCTTTTTTGGTGTAGGAAACTGCTTTGCAGACAGGTAACTGAGCTAGTATGAGCAATTTTAAGTGTCATTTACCTGTTTGATTTAAAAATAATATGTATTACAGATCCTGGTATTATTATAGAAATAATGTCTGATTTTATTGAATTTCTCAGGTGCCTATTCTAGAAATAATGTCTGATTTCACTGAATTTCTCGGGTGCCTACTCTCTCCAAACAACTCTCTTATCCCTTTTAATCAACATTCCCTTTTCTCACCATGATCATCTTATTCATTCCCCTAAAATAGTCAAGGTTTGGCTTAAATTTCCTGTCCTGGAGTTTATGTGGTTGCATATTAAGACCCATTTGGCATCACTGACTTGAACTTCAGGTCTTTCCACAGAACATACATTGATATGTTTCTAGGATACCAGAAGAACACATCTGCTCTTGGAAAATTGAGTATAGTTTGCTTGTTATAAGCCCCCAGATCAAGGGATGTCAAGCAGAATGGGATGGTAGCTGGAGAAGAGATTCTGTTCTGTGGGACTGAAGGCCACACCCAGCAGCGCGGGGGGATGCCTGTGGCAGCAGGCAGCAAGCAGCAGGCTAGTGTGCTCACTGTATTCCCCAGGCCTCAGGTGACATTTGCTAGTACAAAATTCCACCTCGAAAAGCTTTTGTTAGTTTTATCAAGGAAGTTCATCAGGTGAGAGAAAGGGTGTGACTCCTCGTATTTTCAAGGCAGTTTAAGAGAGTTTCTAATGTTCACAGCAAAATGGATAAGTTTAAGAAACCCCCTTGGCCTAATTAGGGGGCAAACTTGAGCTCTGCAGACAAATTTCAGGAAAAGTGGACATACTGGATTACTCTCAAGCAAAGCAAATGTCTTAAAATTTTAATTTCACAGCCAGGCATTTTCACTACGGTGAAAGGAGTCTCACTGCTGCATGTCACATATGTGTATATAAAGTGGCTGTGATGTTATAGGGCTCTTAAAAATATTTTTGGGGCCTCCCTGGTGGGGCAAGGGATTAAGACACAACCTATGAAGCTATCCACAGCCACTGTAGCACGAGTTCGATCCCCGGGCAGGGAGCTACACACATGGCACAGCAGACCTCTCCTGACTCGCCCGCTGCTCCCCTCAGCAGTGTACTTCAGTCAGTCCACCTGTTCTGCTCCCCATTCTGTCTCTGGTGAATTCTCTCACCCCCCACACCTCTGGCCTTTACCCCAGTTCTTGTATGCATAAATAAATAAATCTTTAAAAAAATATTTTTGATGTAGAAATTTCACCTAAGCTAGACCTATCCATATCTATCCATTTCCCTTTTTAAATCTGACAATTACATGGAAGCAGTTTGTTACCCACAGGTGAACTTGACCCAGGCCAGTGTGTTCAACTGTGTGTTCATTGATGATTTATATGGAGGTTACTGGCTCAGCACATGTGTTTCTCACGGCTGGCTTTCCTGGGGCCAAGTTGCAGTGGCCAGACCATGGGGGCTGTAAATGTGGATGGACTCTGTTCTAGTCTTTTCCTTTATCTCAGAGATGGAATCATCTGATACCTTTCTGGATCCTCCTTTTTTACAAAATCTTTATGACTACTTTCTAAATGCATTTCTCATAAACAATCTTATCTGTTTAACATTAATACAGTAAGGGGTAAAGGTGAGGTAACACTTGAGGCCCAAAGGGGGGCGAAATAGGAAGTTCAATAGATAGGAAGAAAGGAGATACTCTAATTAATGAACAATATTATTTTTAGACTCCAGTATTCTTCATGTTTCTTCTTCTTTAATTAAATGAAAGCTACAAGGTATTATTTTAGTCCATAAAACGTAGGACTGGGTCAGGTTTAAGAGAATAAAAGTAAAATTGCAAAAGATTTCTTGTTGATTTTTTAAAATGCTCAGTAGCTAAGACAGTAGGATACTATTCTTCCCTATCATCAAGATACACTCTCCATTTTGCCTGTCCACATCAGATGCCCTTAAAATTTTTCTAGTTCACATTATCTTTATCATCTGAAGGGTTTATGCTATCTCCCTATTGTCATGGCTTTTATTTAAAAATTTTTACAAAAAGTATGGGCAAGAGAGTGTGCAGATTTAATGGAAAAGGCAACTGTCCATATTCCAGATGACCAGTCTCCTTGTCCCTAAGAAATTAGTGTATTGTAATGAAGGTTCTTCAGTTGGGTTTCTCAGTTTACTTACATGTTAGCTCTCTCCTCTCAACGTGGTAACATTGAAAGTTTTGTAAGTGGGTTTTTGCAAAATGTTCAACTCGGTAGACAGCAGGCATTATGAAATGATAAAGTTTATAATCCCTTCATACAATTAGGATGTCATGACCACACGAAGTTCCACACTTCACAGGAGGGGTGTAGAGCATCACCCAAATTTTGTTTGATTCTACTCCATTAGACAAGCTTGTTCTCTTAGATATAGCAACTGAAGCCTAGCATTACTCATTTGTTCAACAAATTGTTCCCAGGGGCACACTTACCTTGAGGTTAATGAAGGTTCATTTGCATGGTCTCCATCTGAGCCCTAGTGGTGTATGGCAGTGTACAATACATTTGTAAAAATTTTCCAAAAGACATTCGTGTATCCTTGGTTCTTAAAGTTCCCCTCTCCAATGCAACTGCCTAATTTTCAGGCCCCAAAGATGTTGGATTCACTCCTGATTGCAATTACTAGTCCAAAGTGGAGTCATTTTGCAGATCCTCTTCAGAGGCTGTGTGTGTCACACAGTTTAAAGTTCTTTTTGTATTAAAACAAGATAAGTCAAACCCCAGTTTTGCTCCCTTGCCCCAACTCTGTTAATACACAATGTAAAGTCTATTTCTTCAGAAATTAAATGAAA